GAGAGTTCGGCTAAAATATATCCAGGGCAAGAAACCAAAAGTATACAAGTAGGCCTACAAATAGGTAATGCAAGGAGTTACAAGGATCTTGACACCGCATCAAATGCTAAAATGTCACTCCTTACACTACCCTCATAAAGACCTAGTGTGGACAAGGAAAACCATCATTACAAAGCACATGAACCAGGGAAGATGGAGGTCTGTTAGTCCAAACCTGATTCTTCATTTCCTTACACCACCACGACGCCAAAAAGTGTGTAGCCTTGTTGGCTGATCTTGGAATCCAAGACCAGCGACAGACATGGAAAGAATCTCCCAATCGAATGCACTACTAAAGTAGAAGGAAAGCTTCCCACCTGCCCTTCGAAGGTGAGTGTCACAAACTTGAAACTGTTTAAGAGGAATCAGATTCAAGAACCACAGAATGCCAACCCAATTGATGACCAAATTCACAGCCAAATTCAACAGCCATCGCCTCCGCCATAGCCACACTCCTGGCCTTGACTCTATACCTAGTAGCACCCAAAAAAGTCCCAGCTTCGTTGCGTGCAACCACCCCAACAAAACCCGATTCGAAAGTCACTTCCCAATTAGCATCCACATTAAGCTTGATAAACCCCAGGCTTGGAGGAGTCCACGTGATCGGAGTTACCAGAGATCTAGGGGCCGTGGTTGGCCGATTACCTAGCAACTGAGTAGCATGCATGAAAGTCCCAAATAATTAGAAATTTTGAAAACTACCTTCTCTGGATGAATGGGTTGATGATTGAAAAGGAAATTACGTCGGGTCTTCCAAATCTGCCAACATGTAAAAGCAATATAAGACAGCAAGCGTCGCTTGTCAATCTTCGATCCAAAGAGCCGCCTCCAAGCAAACCGAAAGCTAGGTTGCCTAGGTGGTGACATCCGCACGTTGTATCCTTAGACCCAAAGCTCCTCCAAACCACACCAACTCAACCAACGGACATAGAAGTAGGAGATGCTCAATGGTCTCCTCTTGAGTGTTGCAGATAGGACATATAGGAGATGAACATGATCTTTTTTAAAATAAATTCGCCATGGTAGCAAGAGCCTCATGAAGTGTCTTCCACATAAAACACTTAATTTTTGGTAACACATGCATACTCCACAGCCATTTCCAAAGAAAAGAAGGGATATTGGCCGAAGTAGTGGCCATGAAAGATCTTTGGGGACGTCTGAAAATAATATGCGTGTCAAAACGGTCTAAGTGATACACACACACACACACAAGCCCTTTAAGGGAAGGGAAATTTTATTTGAACCCATGTAACCTCTTTCTACAACCAACTTACTCTCTAAACTCATATTACTTTTAATCAAACTATTAATATCACTTTAAACCCAACTTTACTACCTAAATTACCCTCATAAACCCACTTCAATATGTAAATTTCTTTTTACCCCCATTTAGAAAATAAAAACCTGAAATCAATATTCTAGAACTTGTTCAACGCGTAAAGAGAGTAATATCTCTTACCTATTTGTCTCATACTTAATCTTTGTTGCATATTTGCCACTCTAATATACAAAGGCAAGGACCTAGTGGATACTGAAAATGGTGCAATACTCGTCACTCTGATATACAATTAAGTCGAGTTTAAATAACTGTGTCATCTCTGTGCTACTATTTGATCCTTGCTCGTGCATTTGTCAAGTTCAAGCTTAATTAATTAGAGCTAGGTATAAATCGTATTCAATGGTTAAGTTATATAAAATAGACAACGTGTAGTTTAGAAATCATAAAAATAGTTTGTTATGTGTCAATGTTTTAGTCAGTTTTCGCATCTTACTTGCCAAGAAGATTAACTGCTTTCACAGAAACAAGTAGAAGGGTTTGGATAATACTAATCTATGTTGTAGTTGTCAGCCAAAAGCCAAGAAAATTACATCTCTAGTGTTGGTTGTAAATTGAACATTTATTGTTACGGACTTAAACTTAGATTTAGTTTCTGGGCAAGTGTGACATCCCGTCCCGGAAATATTAAAACGTACCTGTGAAAAGACATTTTTGCCCCTAGTTTGTTTTCGTTACATTATTGGTTGCTTTGTGTGGTGTGGCATGTGTTGGGCCACACACACACTGTCACTCTCACTCTCACTGTCTCTCTGCTCTCTCTCTGTCTTTGTCTCTCGTCTCTCTCTCCCTTCCCATTTCCATAAACGTACGGACACACACATAACTACACCAATCGACCCAGATCGAGGAAACTAAAGGCACAGCTGAGATCGTGAAGCTCGTGGGAGCACAACAGTACCATTTTCAGGTAAGAAATCCGTCGTTTTCACGTAGTTTCGTCAATGGCAGTTTGGGGTACTATTCATGCAAACTTAATTCTTTACGTTTTTGGGAATTGGAAGTACATAGATAGCTTGGTGGTGTCCCAAGGAGCCTCGGAGTAGCTCGTTTGACGAATTTGGACGTCGGGATCGCCGTGGTCGAAGTTGGCCGGTTTTTGTTTGCGTGGACAGGTATGATCGCGTAGTTTTTAGCCCTTAAAACTGGTCTATCGTGATTCTCCTAAGTCTAAGCGTCATTTTGGTTCAAGAATCATGGAAAACGGTTGAGAAACGAGTGAGAAAACGAAGTTTGAAAATTTCTCAGTTTTCCGGCGCCGGCGACGGCGCCGGAGAAGGAGACGGAATATTCCGTCAATTCTGACGGAATATTCCTGACGCTGTTAACGGAATCTGTCAAAACTGACGGAATATTCCTAACGGCGTCAGTTGACGCCGTCTGTGTGCGCCACACGTGCCTGCGCGTGGCCGGCGCGTGCGGCGGAGGAAATTTTTTCTAAAAATATGGTTGTGATCCTGAAGTTGTGTAGAGCACGTTGGTATATTCATTTGTCCATTTTGAGCAATGTATGAGAAGTTATTTTGAACGGAAGGTTATGTGCTTTAAAGTTAACGTTTTTATAGTTAATTCGCATATAGGTGATTCCTATCCCGAGGACGAGCGTGCACACTCGAGGCAGGGGGGCTACGATCCTTCCACATACCAGTGAGTGGGCTTTTGTTTTCCGTATATACCTATATACCATTAATTCCCAGAAATTGTTAAAAAGGTTATTTGTTTCATGCCATGCACCAAAGGTTAATTGTTTCATGCCATGCACCCTAGTATCATTGTTATGCATCATTGCATGCATTACTAGTGACATACCATTCATTTTATGCTATTGGTTGATATGCATGGTTAGTTGCATATATGGTTAATACATATATATTCATTTATATGTCATATATATATATATATATATATGTGGTGCGGTGGAGGCACAGGTAAGTGCCAGGTAAGTGGTATTCATGTTTACTTTTAAATGGCGATTAAAGGTGCTTAGAGAGCTCATAACCTGCACCCCCGGTGTTAGTGCTCTCGCCCAGAGTAGGGCACAGTCCTTCACGTGTCGTTCACCTCCCGCACCATACGCTCAGCTTGGATCCAAGTTAGGTGCACAGTCTTGTCGTACAGACCACTTTAGGTGGTTCCGACTCGTAGGTGACCCGCGATTATTCGCACAGCCTTCACGTGATCGTAGTACTAGAGCGTTTATATGTATCACACCCAGGCCTGTCGTACAGACCACTATAGGTGGTTCCGACTCGTGGGCAGGTTTAGTTATTAAGATTGAGATTTGAGCTCTAGATTCAGCCATACAGGTCACTTTAGGTGACTCCGGCTACCAGTGATAAGTTATTGACACGGTTTATACCTGAGCACTTGCATATCATTATGAGGCTTGGATTGGCATACCTTTGAGCATGATTGGCATACCCTTGAGCATGATTGGTATATTTATACATACGTATATATGTTTATTTCTGGGAAGTATACAGGTTTTACGGCGAGGGTTTAGACTGTATTTTATGAAATGGTTTTCAAAGAGCTTTGTTTTTACCCACTCACACTTTTGTTTTGCGCCCCTCTAGGTTCTAGTGGTCTAGCAGGTTTGGTGGTTTTCCCAGAGGGCGTCCCGACATTTCTGACAGACACTCACCGATGTAGGGTCACCTTCGGGTGCACTATTATCGAGTTATTTTAATTTGGACTGCTGTAGACTTATTGCTCTGAACTTAGCGTCCCTTTTACGCTAGCACTCACTACTTTATTGTTTGTATGCTAGTTTTTAAATTATTCGTACTTTTATATTACTTCTACTAGCTTCCGCACTGTACACATGGCTACGTCACTTCCACGTGACGGCCAGCATGCCCTGATCTCGGTCGGGGTGTGTCAGCAAGTGTAATAGAAAATGCGTTAATTTTGTTTCTAAATTCTAAAAAAATTGAAATCAAATGAGAAAAACTTGCATAAATCGATTCATACCTTAGTTGGAGGATTCACAACTGTAAAATGATTATCCATTGGTCAAGAAGAGCATATTTTTCTCTATGAAAGCGTTATAAGAGTTTAGCTAGAATGAATGTACAATAAATATTACGTGATCGTAAGGTTTGATGTGATGATAGAGTTTGATTATTGAGTGGGTTTATTAATAAATTTTAATTTTATTGTTAGTTTCATCATGTATTTGATAGTAATTATGCAATAGGGTAGGAAAAATAATTCACATTTAAAATTTAAGTTGGGTGTAAAAAGAGGTTATATGGGTTTAAATAAAATTTCCCTTAAGGGAAGGGATCTCCATTTTTCAAAAAAAATGGGAACACCCCCTTGACGATTAGATTTGACTTTAATGAAATTCTGTGGCTGAGATAAAATCACATGCCACTGAATCTCAACCATACGATTTCATTAAAGCCAAATTTAACGGTTAAATTTAAAAAAAAAAAAAATTTATATTTATATTTATATCACATAATTGATAACACGAAGCACAAAACGAACAATTTGAAAACAAAATGGGCGTCGATTCGATCTAAAAACAACGATATTTCCACTCACTGGACACGTGACAAAACAATTTATGAATATCTTGAAAGCAGATACGCGGCAAATAAGTCTGAAAACGACATAATTAACCAGATTCGTGACTTTTATAAACACAATTGCATATGAAATTATATTACATATTTTATGGAATAGCATTAAGTTTCAAAGCAGATAAATTATATACAAAAAGGTACAACAGACAAGGGCGTACAAGGATCAAAAGGGTAAAGAATGAAGCTCTCTCTAATCAATAGATGAATCAATGATTCTAAAAGGAACATGATTTCTAAATTTCATATTTATTTTCCCCCCAATTCAAAGGTTTTTCTTAGGAGGAGGAAAATAAAGCAATGCTACTTTCAAGCATTATTTTGTACCCTTGTACTTATTAAGTGCTTTGCTTCTCCATTGTAACGAATCATTGCTTTGGCTCGCTAACATGCCGCTGCATTGCGACCACGGGCTCATTGCATCTGGAACATCTGAAAGCTGGGACAGCAGCACACCGCGTCCTAAGGCAGTAATAACAGTATCTGCCGAACATGAACAATTATTTCATCAATATTAAATTTTACTGTAAATCATCATTTGATCCGACGAATTTGTTCCTTGCTCAAAAGTAGCTTTCTTTCAATAAGAAAAAGTAAAAGAGGGATCAGATTTAGTGATGCACCTGTGCTCACATGGAAGAGCGAGAAATGGAACGGTTGGACTGGCCTGGCAAATGGGGCAAGTAAGGTCATCCTCTTCTGAACTTGATGATTTATCTTTGGAAAATGGACTAAGAAGTTTTTTCATAGAGGATGAGTTTAGAAGAGGAAGAAGTAACAATAACATCTCCTGCCATCAGCACAAGGACTAATTAAGTTCTATCCCATGTTATGGCTGAAATTCCATGAAGTAAACCAAAATTGGACAGAAGAACAACAAATCATGAGGCAAAGATGTAAAGACCATTATGCAGAACAAAAAATTTAAATAGAAGCCCGCGCACACATGCACGTGCGGGAAGTGGATACATTTGCAACAGGCCAATCAAGTAATTAATATTGTTTTTTTTCTTCTCTAGTTTCAGCATCTAAAAGAATGCCATGGATGTATGAGTCATGGTTATGAATTCAGGATTGGTACAAAATCTAGAACTTTCCCTCGCAAATCCAAAACTTTGAAAATGTTTTTGCTTTGTAAGATGGAGAATGACTGCATATGTACATTTGGTTAACCTTGATCCTTGGTTTGTGTATTTAAAACCATGCAAGAAGGATTAAGGATTGAGCACATAACCAAGAGCTTTCCTTGCAGAAAGAACTCTAAAAATGTTTTTGCTTTGTCTGAATAGACAAAATATTGCAAACAAAAAATCAGCGTACTTGTGTAGGTATCTGTTTTCATATCAATGCAAGTACATGCCAAGACGCATGCAACCTAGGCAGGAAAAAGGGGCCGAAGCTCGTGCAGTATGAACAGTGGCAGAGATAAAATTGACACATGATCTCTAGAAACCACTCAATACCATTAACCCGGAACTAAAAGAGAGCGAGCTTAATTTTTTACTTACATACAAAATAGCTTCTCTTACGCAAGGAAACATTTGGGAGAAGATCCTTTATAATATGGTTTTTAATACTACTTATCATATCGAAAAATAGAAGTATCTACAACCCCAATTAAATACAAATCCATCAATACAGAACCCTGAGTCTCCCTCTATGAATGCATTAAATGAGAGGGAAGCAGATGCTATGCTGATTCTAACTGGTGAAATGTGGAAAACATAATTTCAAATAATAGAACTGTTCTCATATGTCTACCATATCACATTTAACTGTTCACCAGTATAGAAAAACCGCAAGATCATAATTATCGAGAACAAATCCCTTTTACCAAAGATTCAAACCCAACAAAAGGAAAAAAGACTGCACATATACTTCGTTCTTAAGAACCCTTAACCACTATTCACTTGTGACAGACGGCAAAATAACGCATGAGACAGTGAAATGAGCCCAAACGACAAAATAAGTACTGAGACGAAATTTCAAATATCCTAGAATTTTTCGAGTATCATCTAAACATCAGCTGTTTTGAGTCTAAATCCCCTACTACCAAATCATTGATAGAATTACTTGGTGTGCTTCAGAGTGACAATTCCTCAAACTACGAATGTAAACTCACCTCACACAATAATTAAAGTGATAAATCAAATAAAAAGGGCATACCGAGAATTCATTCCATACTAACTGGCGGTTCATGTATTCAAAGCTAACTGCTCTATTCATATTAGGGCTCCCATAGACCAGCCTAGCTCTTAAAGCTCTTTCAATTAGATTCCTATACCTGCATCACCAACTTGTAATATGAAAAGTTCTGCAAGCTTGCCAAGGAAAATGTTATTCCTAGATCACACTAAGAACATCACATAAAAAAATTCTCACATTATTATATCACACATGCAGCTTCAACATGTTGACCTATACAAAATGGAAGTAAAGAAAATTTTGATTTCCATTAAAAAATATTGCATATGATGCTACAAGTTCAGTTATATGTTTTAACATAAACTACCAACTCTAAATGTGGTGCACTTATACTCCAAGCTTTGTTAAGGACTGGCTTGATAGGATCTATGTTGCACAGACACGGACACACACGGCGACACGGCAAAATCTTAAAAGATAAGGACACGGACACGGCTAGGACACGATGATTAAAATATAATAAATTTATAATAAATATTACAGATAGTAAAAACAATACACACCCAATCAAATTAATCAACATCTAATTCAAATTATGCACACCCAATCAAATTATCAACCTCTATTATCTTTGCAATAGACAATAGTCAATGAAAAAATTCAAAATACACAAAATTCAATCAAAATATGGAATGCTTACTTCTAATTTTGGAGTACAGGAGTTTCGATATGTACAAAACCGCCCCCAAACTTATAAACTTTAGGTTTTATAAGCTTTGGTATTTACAAAACTACCGTGAAAATGTTTTTTAAATTTAAAAAAAGCCCCTGCCGTGTCTTTACTGTGTCCGACGCATCCGACACTTCAGGATTTCGTAGTGTCCGTGCAACCTAGGATAGGATAAGTCACCAGATTCAAGGCATACTGAAGAAAGAAATGGATGACGGTTTACATGTTTTGTCCAAGTTTGATGGTAGCAGATGGATTGCTCATGAAGCAAATTCAGCCTTCAACTTGGACAAAGTTTGGAAGGTTCCTCCATTTCTTTCTTCCATATGCCTAGAATCTAGTGAGTTATCCTACCCAAATCTAATTCTCTCCACAAAATGCAGCCTCAGTCTCTGAAAACATTGGCTCAAAGTAGCATGCAGACATGAGTATACTGATTCAATGAAAACCATCTTTCGAGTATCAAATCCATACCTTCCTGTGTAAAGAAATAAAAGCAAGTTGCCAAATGAGGCAGCTTTGTAAAGTCCTTCTATACGTTGTATCAGAATCCATGCTCCTCGTGCCACTGACCTCTGAACAAATGCAGAGCGCTTCATTTGCCCATTTCAATAATTCTCCATGCGTTGTAATGAAGGGCAACGAAAAGATTGAAAAGAAAACAATACCTGTTCAGAATCGCCCCACCTACGGAAAGCAGAAAATGATTGCAGACGAGCCCATATGTATTGACCACCAACAGTAGCAACACAATACCAAAGCTTCTGCGCAACTGTAAGTCCAGGTCCTTCCAAACCCGTTCTGACTATAAGTAAGTTGAAAAAAAACCATAAGCATAACAAATAGAAATACTACACGTAATTAGGATGTACTTTAAACAAGCTGAATTAAAAGAAAAATTAAAAAGAAGTAAATTCGATACATCAGACAAAATATAACTGTTCGCAGATCAATTTGTGATTGGCTAATTTAGGAACAGCCTGGTTACTACATCAGAGAATGATCTGGAATTGTAAACTTCTATCTTAACAAAGTCCAGAATGTTCGTTCAGCTGTATCATATAAAGTTGGTGTACGTTCGTTATTCTGTTGTGAGAGTATAATCATATTTGTTAACAACATAGGGAAGAAAAAGCAAATTTTTATAGAAATATAACAATATCAATACTTATTTGGTTATTGTATATCACCTAAAACAGCAACATTGGATCAATCTAGGACAAAGTGCATGCATACCAAACAAATCAGAATAGTCTAGGAGAATATAACTCCATTTACCAATGCCAAAAGAAGCAATACCATTGTTTTTAAGCCACAATGACTCATATAAATCAGTGCCAAGACAAGACTATTCAGAAAGCTCATCTTCTTTGGTTCTTCCTTGGCCAAACTGATCACAATTTTGTCTAGAACCTAGAGCCAGCTTAACATATGCAACAAATTTCCAGAAGTACTTACCTTTTCCTCTTGCTTCAATAGCACGCTCGTCTCTATACCTCAGATTCATGAGAGCGATTCCTGGAGTAGGTTTATCTACCCAAATTGAGAACCGCCAGATAAGAAACTCGAGGAAAGCATCAAGTTCTGCTTCATATTGAAATAGCATTCCTGGCTAATCCCAATGAAAATAATAACAGTTTAGGGATTCCGTAACAGCTATACATGGTTACTCGCTTTGAGGACTAGCACTATAAGCCAAGACCAGGAGAGATACCTTCATTAAGGAGAAGACCTTAACCAACTGTTCTTTCAACATGGCTGACATTTCAATGTCCAGCCTTCCCGCATCGAATTGGTTAACTCTGGATATCGAAATTGGGATTATTGACTGCAAAAGAATTCCTCATAAATCAACAAACACTATAACTAAGGTAATTCAACTCGAACAAAGTCACATAAACACTACTACACATGTGTATGCACGTATTTAAGCAATACCCAATGGAAAGAAGATTCTTTTAAACAAGAAGTTTACATTTAACAAATACTTGGTTTTGTTTTGCCATTAAATTACAATTTTTTTTGAGAATTCACTGGGTTTTATTTATGTGCTAATTCTAAACAAAAGACTGAATTTAATCTCAAAAACCATCAAACTGTCTCCCCACTCCACAAAAATTTATTTCCCAGATATCATTTTCCGTAAAAACAAATACAAAAAGAAATAAAAACCCACGAAATTAATTTATTTTCTGAAATCCAGAAATTGAAAAATTGAACTAAATTAATAGCAGAGACATGAAAGCTATTTAACAAGTAAATTGATAAATTTTGAAAGGGAAAAGGAACCTGGTGGGAGTGAGAGATGGATTTCCATTGAGGAAGTAAGGACTTGTAAGTGTGAAGCCAAGCGTCTTCTGCTGGTGGTCTAACAGTACTATTACTGCTACCACTCATTGAACGACTGAACAATTCAACAATCCCCTTCTTCTTCTACTTCTTTGAAGGGTTTGGTGATTGTGAATCGAATAAAATTTATTTGGAGTTTTGATTTGAGATTGGGGGTGGACGGGTGATTGCTCTTCTCAAGGCTCTTTCTCTTTCTCTCTCTCGGTTTGCAAGGGCGGGCGGTTGAGCTAGCGGCAAAAACCTATATTCACTCGAGCGACGGTTAAAATTGCAAAATTTGGTATTATGTTCGAATCTCGTCAATGATGAATTCGATAAGTGGATCGAATTAGGTTCGTTTGATCAAATCTAAAAGGTTGAATAAATCCATAAAAATGAGTTTAGAGTGAAACCGGTTCATAAATAACTCATCATTAATTCAAAACGATACCCAACAATTGTTTTAAAATTTTTGAATTTAAAATCTCCCTTTCCTTGACAGTTACCTTCTTAATGTCCAAAACTCTCAATCTCCCACGAGCGATTTCAAACTTCCTTCACCTTGAAAATTTCCTTGCCATTCGAAACATAGTCGTAGTTGTGTTATACTTGTCGTCTCCAACCTCACTGCAATTCCACAAAACATTTTAGAAAATGAGGCGCGTTTGGTTCGAGGGTGTCCATTTGGTTCCACAAAAAGGATGTGATGCTTGTTTGATTCGAGCTGGGTTCAGAGTTCTTGCATGATAACCAACATCATATTTGATTTCCTGAATTCAATTTCAAAATTGGTGAGTTTTGAAAATTTGCTATGTTAATTCTAATTAATAGTGTTCATGGTTAATTATGCATGTTTGTTGATGAAATTATTTGAAATTGATGGATATATGTGAAATTTGTGGGAAATTTGGGTGCGTTGTGAAGTTATGAAGCGATGTTGACATGTTGTGTAAGTGTGATGTCTTTAAGTTTTGTTGAAGTTGTAGTGTTGACTTGGGATTGATTTTTGTTGATGAAATTTTGTTTAATTTTATGAATTGAGTTGATAATGCTTAAGTCATGATGCGTTGTTCATAGTAGATGTATAGCAATGAAAACTTGTTGACAGATTGTTGTATATGTATATTGTTGAATTTGGTTGTATTAAGGGTGTATCTTGTTGAATTTGGTTGTGTTCAATGTTTGTATGTTATGTGTACAGAAAATGGCAACTCACGGTGTTTAATATGCAACCAAAGAAAAAGATTCCTGTACGAAAAAGGGTTAACAACCTGTCCCAAGACCCCAATGTGTTAGGATTGATACGTGAGAAGTTTAATGAAGCACAACTTGCTACCTTTAGGGCCATCCTACTTTGGCCTCTTAAAGCATGTGAATGAATTGGCCTTCAATGGCCAATTGGTCCATAAGTTGTCGCTCTAGAATAGCAAGTCAAGTGGTTAAAGACCTTGAAGGATTGAACTATTTCATATGTTGTAAATTGACTCAATTCACAAACTAGGACTTCTGCCCGGGCTTCGATTTGATGAACCTCATGATGTATACGTTAAGCTGGAAGGGATTAGGTTTGTAAAGGCTGCTAACAAGACCCCTGAAGATCCTTAGGGTGAAGTTTGCCTTCTTAGAATTTAGGTTTCGTCATTTTTTACAATTTTTCCACTTTTTAAAGTATATTGTAATTTCAAGGTTCATTAATTGATTCAAGTGTTATTTTCATGAATTTCCATAAGGTATCACAAATATTCATATACATTCATCACAAGTCACAGTTAGTGCATCGCAATTTTCATCAGTGTTGTGACAAACATATACATGCTAAACAACCAACTTTGGCCGCAACAAAACAATAGTTATCCCCATGCAAACTTAACACATTTTGTATAAAAAAAGACCCGCCGCAAATTACTTTTCAAACTGTCTTTAATGGGGCATTGAGCATATATTTGTAAAAAGCGTCTAGCATTACCAAATTTTCGACAATCACATTACTGTTACTTTTGAGTTGGTTGTGAATTAGGCACACGGTCAGCATTTTCTTTTGCATCGGTAACATCATCGACAGCTCAAACGGTGTGGCCTCTGTGCATTCTTCGGCATTGGTAGGGCAAAACCTGGATAACTACAGAATAATCCAAAGTTGCTTTAAATATTACTACCACGAGTATCTTGTGAGGCAAAGCATAAGCTATAATTAATTTTGTTGCGTACCTTGTGGTAATGAACAATTGCCACTGGTGCGTCTCCGATATTGACTTTGCTTCTCTTTTATACTTGCTTTCAACGCCTTTTTTATTAACTTGAATTGGATCTTTAACCACCTCGGTTTGAGAACTCCTACCTCCGTCTTCACTCTCTTTTCTTTTTCGACCACAGTTAGGCCTGGTAAATGGGTCGTGTCTATCGTGTTCGTGTAACACCTGTTATCTTAACGAGTCGTGTCGTGTCACACCTGTTATCTTAACGGATCCTTAACAGGTCGGGTCACTTTACCCAACCCGTTAAGAAAAATATATTTTTGTTTCTTAAATTAGCACATACCACATATTACCACATAAATATTACTTCAAAACATTAAACCACATTTGTCATTTAAGTACTACATCTACACTCGAAAATAAGAGCCTAATAAAAAAAACATTCATACGCTACTAGTCTATTACAAAATATTAAATGTGCAAGTATATGCAAGAGAGATGCGGATTAAGGAGACGGCGCAGGAATAAGTCTGGACTGGAGAGATCAGAGTGAATGAGAGAGAAGAGAAGGATAGCCTCCAACCTAATGCACAATGGACAACTAAGATTAAATCTCAACTGATCCAATGGTCACCAATTTTTTAAATTTAATTTAAAATATATATAAATATAATTATTATAGTTTTTAGGGGTATAAAATTGTTAAATTAATATATATATATATATATATATATATATATATATAATTATCATAGTATATTTTTGGGAGTTTTAACGAAAAGCCTGCGGTACTGTTCACTTTAACAAAAAATCACATTTTTACACTAAAAAGTCAAACTTGGTACTATTCACTTTACCCTTTATTTTGTCCTTATCGTTAAAACTCAAAGTTTTCAAGCCATTTTCATTAGTTTTCCTTATTTTTTTAGGGTTACAAAATTATTAAATTAATATTTTGCTTATTGTGTATCTTGTTACTCATGTGTATACCTGAACCAACCCGTTATCTTAACAGGTGTTTATCGGGTTACCCGATAACGACCCGATTCATTATTGTGTTGACCCGAACACCTATTAATTTTGTGTCGTGTTGTGTTAGGTTATCAGGTTGTGTCAGGAATTTCCAAGCCTGTTACCAACAACCAAAGAGTTCAGCTTTGTATCTAAAGATTTTAAAATGCACTTCCACACAACAGTTTAGAAAATTAGGCGATTTGGTTCGAGGATGTCCAGTTGATTCCACAGAAAGGACACAATGTGTGCTTGATTCGAGCTGGGTTCACAGTCCTTGCATGATCAACATTTTCATTTGCATTGGTAACATCACGAACAGCTCACACGATGTGGCCTCTATGCCTTCTTCGACAGCTGTAAGACAAGACCTGGACAACTACAGAATAATCCAAAGTGTTTTTAAATATTACTACCACTAATATATTGCAAGGCAAAGCATAAATGATCTTTGCTTTCGTTGCGTACCTTGTGTTCGGTAATGGACAATTCTTCTTGCCATCAATGTGTCTCGAATATTGACTTTGCTTATCTTTTGTACTTGTTTCGACACCCTTTTTAACTTGAATTAGATCTGTAATCACTTCGGTTTGAGAACTCCTACCTCGGTCTTCACTCTCTTTTCTTTTTCGACCACGGTTACCAACAACTAAAGAGTTCAAATTTTTATCCAAAGATTTTAAAATGCATTATAGAAGTTTGCTACATTCCTCTAACATTACTGCCTCGTCAATCAAATCTAAAGTTTTTCTTGAAAACTGAGCTTTTTTGGACACGGTAGAATTGTTGGCATCTTTTCCTTTAGTGTCCAAAACAATATTGGATTTGCTGATTTGAAGCTACTTTTTTAGTATGTAGTGTTGAGGCAACAACTCTATTTGTTTCATTCTCAAATATGTCAATATATGCTGCAAAGAGAAACTCTCTAAAACTGTATCTCTTTGCAGCTTCACTTAGCATAATTCAAGATTGTATGACCCATCAACCTCTTCATCTTTGTCACCTCTACAGCCCTCTTAAGTATTTCATACACTGCCATATTTTCATCTCCTGACTTCTCCCTCATGAAACAAGTCACAATCTTTATTTCCTCCGCTTGAAAATTTTCAAACAAAAATCGAATGTACAATTTGGCCACTTAAGCTTCCATTGTGGTACGAAGTTGCATAAGAGATGCATAGTTTTCATCCTTATGGTCACCAAGCACCACGTTCCACATCATGCTCGATTAGATGACCTCACAATTGCTGTTAGGCATTAAACATATCCTTGGAAGTGCAACCAATATTTCCAGTTCATCCACTTTACACCTCCAATAAACCCACTTGTTTACTTATGAAAATATTTGCATGTGTCGTACATTGTTCATTCATCGTCTTCTTTGCCTTTGAAACTCGATGATGAGATCTGAATAAGTGCGAGACATTTGACATATGGTGGTTGTGTCCCTTGTTAACTTTTCACAACTAATTCCTTTATAAAGCGTAAGTTTTGCCTTGTAGTCAGTTCTAGCATCTCCCCTCCTACCTTTCCGATTGGGTTTAGGAATGACATCCACCCTCTTTTTGCCTTCTTTGCAACAAACAAATTCTTTATCACCAAACAATCACCATCACTGGACTTTTTACTACCATGCTCTTGAATCCCAAACCTAGCTGCAAATGCATAATTGTTGTAAAATGTATACCCTTCATCCAACGAATCAAATACCCTTTTCAATCAACTCATCATCTACTATTGGTACCACAAATTCAACCTTTCCGACACCAAATTGATCTTCTGCATCTATATCCTCTCTTTACTATATATTTTCTTCAATTTTTTACTCATCCCTATTGAATTACAGTTTAGTAACTACCTGCTGTAAATTTACACATAACTTATCACAACCTAGCACAAGTTTTACACTTATATATATATCTAAAATCGAATTGCAGAATTTCAACCAAGTCCAGTGGTAAACATCAACATTATGGATTCAAATCCCATAATTATAAATATCTTACACACGTACCCAAAGTTGGTTTTCATAACCAAACTTAAACGGAAATGGATTAACTGA